TGAGGTCAGGAGTTCGAGACCAGCCTGGCCATCATGGTAAAACCCTGTCTCTAACAAAAATACAAAAATTAGCCAGGTATGATGGCGGGCACCTATAATCCCAGCTACTCAAGAGGCTGAGGCATGAGAATTGCTTGAATCCAGGAGATGGAGGTTGCAGTGAGCAGAGATTGCACCACTGCACTCCAGCCTGGGCAATAGAGTCGAAAAGAAAAGAAAAGAAAAGAGAAAAGAAAACAAAAAAGAAAAGAAGAAAAGTCCAGCTCAGGCGACAGGTTGAAGGAACCATCGCAGAGATGTAAAATCCCCAACTGCCAGCCACCAGTGTCTGAAGGCAAGCCCCTTCTTATCAAATCCTTCAAAATCATCCCATATCTTTATTTCTCCAGTGGAAAAATCCCATCTCTCCCATTCCAAAATCACTTATTCCCTAGGGCAAAAGAGAGACTGACGGCACAGGGCCAAAGTCCCCACCCACTTGCTCCAGTAGAAACCTGTCAGATGTTTATCTAGTTCCCTCGCATTAGCGGAGCTGCTTAGTATCTGCCAGGTGGACAGGAGGGCTGGCATCCCTTCCAATCTGTAGCTCAGCTTTTGCCTCCACGCCCCAGTGTCCAGAGAGCAGCTGAGGGTAGAGAGGGAACGAGGGGGCCCTGATGGTCAGGGCTCAGAGCCAAGTCTTAGAGGTGATACCTAAGAGCTCAGGAAATCAGCCTCTCCTGAAGGTCCGGGTCCCGGGTAGGGGGAGAATGGCTGCCATGGAGATGGGGCAGGCATGGCCTCAGCTTTGCATATCCCACCTCATGTTTCCTTCAGAACCCTGCACATGACCCGCCTCTCTGAGAAAGTAACCAGCATCACTGAGCTACCATCACTCCAGGCCCTATGGGACTCCAGAACTTGACTGTCATTCTAGCTCAGGGATCCTTCTCTCTATTGTATGAGTTTTCTCTTTTCAAATCCATGTCCAGTGGCTCTTGTGAGACTGTGAGCTGACAAGGATGGTGTATGTCTCTCCCTTTCCCCACTTGCCCCCGTTGCCTTCTAGAGCAGAGCTCCCTACTCTCGGAGCTCAGAAGTTTGCAGGGTGCAGTGGCTCATTCCTGTAATCTTAACACTGGGGGAGGCTGAGGTGGGCAGATCACTTGAGGTCAGAAGTTCGAGACCAGCCTGGCCAACAGCATGAAACCCCATCTCTACTAAAAAAAAAAAAAAAAAAAAATTAGTCGAGTGTGGTGGCACACACCTGTAATCCCAGCTACTCGGGAGGCTGAGGCAGGAGAATCGCTTGAACCCGGGAGGCAGAGGTTGCAGTGAGCCAAGATCGTGCCACTGCACTCCAGTCTGGGGGACAAGAGTGAAACTGTCTCAAAAAAAAGAAGTCTGAAGGTCAACACAGGTAGAAATGGAGGTCGTTGACTTCTTTGTAGTATTTTAAAACTTCTACAGGAAATCCTGTATTCTAATAAAGCCTCACAGACAAATTAACAGATGGGGTTTCCTTGTTTTTATCCAGATCTGGAATGATGTTGGTTATTCCATGCTGAACAAGATGGTGTGAATGATTTTTCTTTGATTAATTTTTAAAAAGTTAAAGCAAATTAGCACTTAGGCCTTATAAACACAGGTTGTTTGCAGTTGACATCCCAGGAAGTGCCAACCCACGTCCCCCCCACCCCCACATAAAGAAAGCCAGGCACACAGTTGGGGGTAGGGGGTGCTGGCAGCCTAGCTGGGGCTGAGCTCCAGCTGCTAACCTTCCATTTCTTCCTCTGTTGTCACCGCTGAAGACTCAGACACTGCCTTCTGGCCCTGGGGAAGCACTGGAAATACCAGAGTCTGGAAATGCTAGCTGCCCCCGTATTTACACACTTTACCATACATGGGAATGACTCAGTGCTGGCGTCAGACACATTCCTAGGGAGCTGCGTAGTACAGGAACGACCTTACCATATAAATTCTTGACAACTGGAAACAGCAGTCAGAACCCAGGACCCCTCCACCTCACCTTCTCTGCCCTCCCCTCAAGTTTTACTAGCTCTCTCTCTCTTTCTCAAGCAGGCTCTTTTCCAGGCTTCTTTTCTTTCTGCAAACCTGGCTCTGAAACTCAACATGCAGAGGTGGTGAAAGCATATCCATTGGTGGCTGGCAACTAACTCTCAGGGGTCCCCTCTGCTCCTACCTGGCCATGCAACAGACTGAAAACCCAGAGGTCAGGAGTTCTAACCCTGACCCATCCAAGTGAAAGATATCTTCCTTAAATAGTTTATAAGCCACTGTAAAGCAACTTGTAAAGCTGATGTGTTTCACAAATGGCAGATATTTCCTTAGTGAGTTGATCTGGAAAAAGGAAATGTAGAGGAGCAAAGAAAAATAATAGGGTAGTGACTGAGCATACGTTCTGAAAACAATCAGCTTATGTTGGAATGGCAGCTTCAAAACTGATCAGCTGTGATCCTGAGCAAGTTTCTTACTACCACTGAGCCTCAGTTTCTCCATTTGTAAAATGGAGAGCATCAGTAGCTACTTCATAAATTGTCCAAGATAACACATGTGAAGTATTTCTCACACTGTCTGGTACACTGCAAGTGCAGATATCTGGTTATCCTTATCTTAAGGACATGCCAACTCTAATACCTATTGTTCAGTTTTGTGTCTCTTTTGATATTTGACAATATGCTTGAGTAATGCCAAATGGCTGACTTGGAGGAAAAAGTCTTTTTATTCTCACTAGCACCTCTTTGGATCCCAAAATATTTAACCCATGTGTCTTCATCTAGCCAGCCAACGTTTCACAATAAGCTAGGCTTACATAAATATTTAAAGCTTTAGCAACCTGCCAGAAAAGCCTTCCCAATTCGCTTCCCCCACCAGGAGACGGACAGTGAATAAAAACTATGTTGCCAGGCACAGTGGGTCATGCCTTAATCCCAGCACTTTGGGAGGCTGAGGTGGTGGTGGGGACAGGGAGGGGATCACTTGAGGCCAGGAGTTCGAGACCAGACTGGCCAATATAGTGAGACACTGTCTCTAAAAAAAAAAAAAAAAAAAAAAAACCGGCCGGACACAATGGCTCATGCCTGTAATCCCAATGCTTTGGGAGGCCGAGGCAGGTGGATCACCTGAGGTCAGGAGTTCAAGAACAGCCTGGCCAACATGGCAAAATGCCATCTCTACTAAAAATACAAAAAATTAGCTGGGTGTATTGACAGACATCTGTAATCCCAGCTACTTGGAAGGCTGAGGCAGGAGAACCGCTTGAACCTAGGAGGCGGAAGTTGCAGTGAGCCAATGTTGCGCCATCGTACTCCAGCCTGGGCGACAGAGCAAGACTGCCTCAAAACAAAACAAAACAAAACAAAAAACAAACCAAAAAAAAAAAACTATGCCTTTTTTTCTCTCACCTGCTTGTCAATCTACCCAAGTGGAAAAACTGGCTAGTAACTATTTGCAAGGTTTATGAGTGTCCAGCAGGCCAACTCAGCTGAAAGACCATTGCTACCCCACTCATTCATCAAATATGTACTGATCACCCCGTCAAGTGTCACTACACTCCCAGGCTGCAACTCTGGCCCAGTCAGGACTCACTAGCTCCAGAAGCAGATGCACATGTGTACAATTAAAAGAGCAAACACCTGGGCCAGGAAAGAAGGTGCTAAGACAGACCAGAGGCAAAGAGGCCATAGCACCCCTGTTTTTCCCATTTTATTAGCAGGCCAGTTGCCGAGCTGATGGGCCTTCTCTTTAGTTTCTCTCCTGCATCCCCCGCATACCCTCCATCCCGGGCATCTCAGGCCTTGCAGACATTTCTCTCCTCCCTATCCTCTAACCCACACTACACCCTCTGCAGGATAAACTTCCTTCCTCGTCTGCCTCCGCCCCGGATATCCTCTCCAAGGCAAAAGGGTCATTCACTGGAAGACCGTGAGCAGGAGGAAGCTGGATTTAGGAAACAATGGGTAAAAGCTGCCCATCAGCAGTTGAGGGCTGAGGACAGTCTCTCTCAAAAGAGGTAGCCTGGCCTCCTGAGCCAGAAACCAGCTGGAGAGTCAGGAGGCAGCAGTTGAATGAGAGCAGGGGAAGCTCAGTACCATCCCCAAATCCTACCTGGGGAAAATCCCCAACATGCACTCTGAGAGGACAGAGGGAGACAGGCAGCACCTCCAGCCTCCTTAGCTTCTGGGAGGAAGGGAAGGGATGGGTGGAGGACAAGAAAGAAGATAGTAACTGACAGATCACTCCTGTGTCGGAGGTTCTGTAGCATCCCTGAAAGAAATTGAGGCATTGAGAAGTTAAATAGTTTATCCAAGGAAACCTGTGTGTTAAGTGGCAAATCTGAGTCAAAACTCTGCCTTCCAAACAATCCCCCACAAAGACTCCAGACCACCTCTTCATGATACACTGATACACTTTCTACCAGGGCCCAGTGGATTTCCTCGGTGCCACTGTGACAGTATCCCAGCGTGGGGAGGGCCTGCCCATTCACTCACTCTCAGGGAGCAGCGGGGTGGGTGGTGGGAGCCCAGGGCTCTAGGCAGAGCCTGAGCCCACTATTGGTCCAGCCGATTCCTGGGTCCCGGTTAGATCACAACAGCACCAGAACCAGAAGCACGCAAAATATTCTCTGGTCTGTACTAGTAGATACATACCTGCCTCAGAGGGCTGACTGTTAGCTAACACATTGTGATTTGCTTTAAACGCGCTCAACACCAGTCCCTTTCTTACTGCCCAGCTTTCAAGGCCTGAGGCCAGAAAACACTGACTGCAGGCTCTTTCAGGTTTCAGTAACCATCACCACCTAGCACCAAGATTTGAAGTGGAGAGGTTTCCATGCAGTTCTTTCGCAAGAGGGAAAACTCACACCTGCGCTCAGGGACACAGATGTCCAAGGTCAGGCCCATGAAACCAGATGTTTGCCCCACCCCGCCCGCAGGCATTTTCTCCCCAGCAGGAGGGTGAGGGAGGGGGTGGCACGGATGCCCTCATCTCTCTGCCATACAATGAGCGTCAGTAGCGCGCAGAATCGCCGATTGTTCTGCCCGACCTGCAGGCGGTTGGGGGTAGCCGGGTCGTCCTGGGTCACGGACACGCGGAAGCCAACTGTGTCCAGGAAGTCCAGGAAGCCCAGGAAGGCCCGGGATGGGGAGGGACCTAGTGCCTCTAGGAAAGAGCAGCACTGCCCGGGCTAACTGCGGTCACTTCTCACAATTCCCCGCCTGCGACAGCCCCGGGGGCCGCGGCGGAGCGAGCAAGACCGGGAGGCGCTGAGGGCGTGCCCAGGCGCCCCTCCGCGGGGCGCAGAGCCGCGTGGCCCAGGGCGCACTCACCTGGCAGCTGGCTCGGCGGCGCACGGGCGGCAGGCGCTCTCGGAAGTGGCGGCTGGGTGCGCCCGGCCTGCGCGCCGTTTTGTTCCGCTCCGGGGAAGGCGTGTCCCGGGCCACGCCAACCAGTGGGCTTTGCACACCGCACCACTCCAGGGCTGATGTCATGGCGCGAAGCCCGGCGGTGCGCCCTCCCAGGCCCCAGGACGGCCCGGTCGGCAGGGGCGGGGCAGGAGTCGCCGACTGTGGGGGTGCCCCGCGCTTGTGCTGCGGTCCCACTGTGCGCCCCGTCGCCGCCACCGCGGAAAACGTCTTGCACGTGCGAGGGACATTTCGGGGGTTTCCTGTCGGTCAGGTGAGAAGGCGGAGATGTGACCTTAGAGATCAGACCCATGATAAACTTGGGCCCCTAACGAAAGGGGTGTCCCGAATTTACATGCCCCGGTGCCAGAGGGTAAGGGACACATCTTGGGCGCCAGGGTAAGACAGACCCTTCCAAGGCAGGTCTGATTCCGCCCATCCACTCACTAGCTGGGCCCTGGGCCTAGACAGCCCCTCTGGGTTCAGGGTCATCTGTGAACGACCTGTAATCTACAGGGATGTGAGGGGCTAAAAGGAGATCCTGTAGGACCCGCGACCTTCAGCGGCACCCGGCATGTAATAGACAGTCAATAAATGTAACTCCCCCCTCCAACAGCTCTTGCCGCTCAGTTTTTCCCAGTCTTCCCTGCTACCCCAAGGACAACACCTGGGAAAAGGTGTTCTCCCCCAAAAGCAGCAGTTCTGAAAAGTGGGTACCTCCACAGAGGGGCTCCACCCTTCAGTAGGACAGACACAGGCTCAGGCCACTCAAGCTGCCCCTGGGGCAGTTTCCAGGGGGCATTCTGTCCCCACCTCCTCACCCAGTCCCCAGCCCTTCCTGAGTGCCCTGTGCAGGCGTTTCAGGGGGCAGAGACGCTCACAGCCTCCAGAGGTGCTGCCTGGGTGGGAGGAGAGCCCTCACCCCTTTCCTGAATGGGAAAGAGCCCAGAAACCCAATGTTCTAGACAGAGCAGGAGCTCCCCAGGAGCCTCTGGCAGGGAGGGACTAGGTAGGAAAGGAGAGCCAGATGTGAAGCGAGGCATCATTTTCTTTTCCTCCTCCCGGCCCCACTCTGTCCTTCGGTGCAACAAGCAAGGAGCATTGCCCTTTTTGGGAACTTGTGAATTTGGATTTGGGGGAACATGAAGAATCTGCAAGAGAAAATGATGTTTCCAGGAATAGGAGGAGTAAAGAAGGAGTGACAGCCTCGGGAAACAAAGCCCTGTCTTGTAGTTTGTAGGTTTTTGTGAACTTGTTATGCTTTATTTCTAAGACCAAAGGAAATCAAGAGCTGGTGGTGTCTTATTCTCTCAGATTGGATTCCATTATTTTCAGGGTGCAGACTGTGATGGGAAATAAACCGCACTCAGATCTGGGATGTACACTTCAGTGTGATTGCGAATGTTGTGTGGGGTGTCTCTGTGTGTAACTTTCTACTGTATTCCAGAGCATGCTTAGAAGGAACTTCTGCAGCCTCCTAATGCCCATAGCAGTTCACTGTGGGGAGGCCCTGGAGGGTTTGCTAGGCAGCTGGTCACCCTACACCCCAGGTGGCCTATAGATGCAGCTGCTACGTCTTCCACCCTGGGCAGGTGTCAAGGGTTCAGGTCCCAACCGGCTTCACTTAAAGCCCTGGTTTGCTGAATCAACTTTTTGCCAGGAATAAAGTGAAGCATCTTATGATCTAGAAAATGAAGTATTTGGCCAGGCACTGTGGCTCACGCCTGTAATCCCAGCACTTTGGGAGGTCGAGGAAGGCAGATTGCTTAAACCCAGGAGTTTGAGACCTGGGTTTACCCTGTTTCTACAAAAACCTGTTTTGCACAAAAAATTTTTAAACCCTGTTTCTACAAAAAATTTTTAAAAATTAGCCAGGCATAGTGGTGTGTGCCTGTAATCCAAGCTACTCAAGAGGCTGAGGTGGAAGGATCACTTGAACTTGGGAGGCAGAGGTTGCAGTGAGCCAAGATTGCACCCCTGCACTCCAGCCTGGGCGACAGAGCAAGCGTGTGCCTCAAAAAAAAAAAAAAAAAAAAAAAACAAAGTGTTTATCTAGGTTTTTCTTGCTTTCAACCCTAAGTAACATGTTTCCTTTGGCCAGGTCCATCCTATAAACAAAGCCCTCCAAGATTAAAATGTCTATAAGCACACAACAAGTGTTTCTTGCAGATTGGGCCATCTTCATCTGACCCAACCAAGATGTAGGAGGAGAAACCAGAAGAATTTCTAGTCACGGCTGCACTGACCAAACAATAGTTAAACAGGTACATTAAACTGCAGAACTACTGTCAGTGTCAGAGACCGAGGGCTTCCGCCCAAAGATGGCGATCCCGTGGGATTTCCCCCTCTCCTTTCAATTCTCAGTATCTTGGAGAGATGAGCCTCGGAGTTTTGCCCAGGATTTTACAAAAGGGCAAACTCCTACATTTCCTTCTTTGGTCTGGGTTTGTCCTCTCTGGAGTCGTGGGACTGTTTATAAATTTCCCTGTGAGGACATGCCAACCTGTGCTGTGAAATGGCTTTAGGGTAGATCCAGGAAAAGAAGAGCAGTTACTGCAGTCACACTTGGATTTCTCCCAGATCTTAAAGCAACTTGTAAACAGAGTGGTTGTACAATGTGTCATCTAAACCAGAATACTTTGGATAGTAAGTGGTATGTGGTAGTATTCATAACTACACTAAGGCAACAGGACTATCTCAGGCAGTCCAGGGCAGATGGTCACCCCGCTTGTCCACCCAAAGACTGTCAGGGCACATGTCTTAGGAGCTGTCTATGCAGAGCTACAGATAAAGCAAGCCAAGTGGGACCTGCCTTGTCTGGTGTTTTTCCAGAACCTCACACCTTCTGATTATATTGTTCTCCCAGCCTGCTGCCAGTTACTTGGGCTTGGTCTTAGATAGCACGTTTGCAGATAAAGAAGACTTGAGGGATGAGGAAGGGCTCTGGGAATGAGTTGAGTCAAAGGTGATGCTGGGGTTACCCACTATGCAAACAGGCACAAGCCTGATGTTGAAATCACAGAAAAACCAGTAAACATCTTCAATACTTGGGACATCCTTAAGGCAGAGATTCTCATTCTGGCTGACCTTATTTATATAACCATATCTAGACTGGCCCCAGCCAGCCAGCAGCACCCACATCTGCAGAGACAATGCAGTCAGAGCTCATCACCAAGAGATTATCTGCTGGGGGTTCTAGAAGGAGTCTTGACACACTTAGGGGCTTGCCTGCTTCTCAGGACTCTCACAAATGTCTAACCTTTTCAGTATCTTTATGTCCTCTCTGTGCACTCTATTTCCCAACACCTCTGGGTTGGTATTTGATGGCTGCTGGGGATGAAGTGGGGCCTGTTACAGCAGGAAGTAGGGCCCCTGACCTCCAGCTTCCAACTTTCTCTGCCTCTTCCTCTGGCATCTTTTATTCTCTTTCCTCCCTCATCAGCATCCTGATGCTACATCTTCATTCTCTTCTCCTGTGGTGAAACCTTTCTTTTCCACATTGATCCCAAGGGAGGGGGACCTGGTGTGAGGCTGATGAAAGTGTAAGGAAATGTGGCTGACTTAGTTCTGCCCATCATGCCAGAGAGCTTAGAGATCCAGTCTGGACCAGAGATCTTCTTGTCCATCCTTTCATCCATCTGTCCATCCATCCGTTCATTCATTCACCCATCCATCCACTTGTTCACCCATCTGTCTGTCCATGCATCCATCCATCCACCTGTTCATCCATGTATCCATCCACCCATTCACTCAGCAGACATTTATTGGAGCCCCACTCTGTGCTGGTCTCTAGGTTCTAGGAATATAAGGAACACTATAACTTGGATCATGACCTCAAGAAGTTTACTCATCTAATGGGTAAACTAATATCAGGGCCCCAAAGTCTTTCATGGGCATGAAGGAAGGGATATAGGGGACAGTGAGTAACAAAGGATAAATGCTTAATTCTTTTTCCCTGGGGGAGAGCCTGGGGTCAGGAAAGATGATTAAGAGCTGTCCAGGAAGCAAGAAGAAGGGGCAAGATCTTGGAGCAGCATTGTTCAACCAGAGAATGGCAAGTTTATCAGCCAAGCTGACGTCTGAGATGAAAGACAGGATTCTGAGAGAGATGGACCTGTTGGGTAGGCAGAGACCAGAAGAACATGGCAGACATTATACACCACTTGAAGTGGGTGGACTGTCCTGAGAGCAGTGGGAGTATTGGAGGACCTTAAGTAGGGAAGCGACATGATCAGTTTGAAAAACATTCTAGGAAGATAGTGATGACTCCCTTTGAGGTGAGAGGGGAGCCAGGAGCACCTACCAGAAGATTATTGCAATAGTCCAAGGAAGAGGTGATGACTGGCCGTAGCCCTGAGGATGGAAAGTGAGGGATGGATTTGGGGGTTATTAAGGAGGCAGAATCTGCCAGACTTGATAAACAATTTTCTTCTGGGGGTGGGGTGCAGCAGAAAGGGAGGGAGGAGTCAGGGATGCCTCCTTGTTTCTAGGCTGGGCAACTCACCAAGTTAGGGAATTCAGAACCAGCTGCAGGTTAGGGGGCAAGAAGGGATAATGAACTTAGTTTCGTTGGATTTGAGATGCTTGTGGAACATCCAAGTGAAACTGTCCAGTGGACAATTGAACACAGAGCAAAAGAGGGGCCAGGGCTGGTGAAAGAGATTTTGGGGTCTTCAGTCAAGAGAGAGCTTATAAAAAGGAGCAGGCTCAGAACCCCAAGAAACACCCTTTGAGGGTGACTGAGAGCCCACAGAGGAAACTGAGAAGGAATGATGAAGGATGTAGGAGAAACTCATGGCATGGAGGCCGAGAGAGAGATCTTCAAGGAGGAAGGACCCTTGGGAGCCTTCCCCAGGCATCTTCACACCTGGAAAGTGTGGAGATGCCTGGGGAAGAAAATGAATGGAGTCGCCAGGCAGGCATAGTGGCTCACACTTGTAACCCCAGCACTTTAGGAGGCTGAGGCAGGTGGATCACTTGAGCCCAGGAGTTGGAGACCAACCTGGGTATAACCCCATCTCTACAAAAAAAATGTGTATATATATACACACACATATATATACACACACACACACACACACATATATATATATATATATACACACACACACACACGAAATTTATCTGGACATGGTGGTGCACACCTGTAGTCCCAGCTACGTGGGAGGCTGAGGTGGGAGCATTGCTTAGGCCCAGGAGGTGAAGGCTGATCCTGCCACAGCCTGGGCAACAGTGAGATCCTGTCTCAAGAGAAAATAACATGAAAGGAGTCAA